TCCCTCTTTCCATTTTTTTTTTTTTTTCTCAGTAGAATTGCTTGCCTGCTTTTGAATTGAACAGGTTTCATTGACCCCAAGTGCTACTATCATTGCTCTGTCGAGTGATGGCTGTAAAATAGAATTGGGTCAACATGATGATCGAATCTGGGTTATTGGGTCAGATTAAATTGAGATCTGAATATGAATAACCGTTGAGAATTTTTTATTAATATCAATTATTAATTAGTTTCACCACTAAAAATTATTTTCCAATTAATTTTTCAATAATCACTACTTTAGTAATTATTGTTATTTTGTCGGCTTGGGTATAAATTTATCACGGTGATTTTTTTTTCACTAACTATTCGTATTATTTCAGTAATTAATATAAATACCAAAAATATTAAAAATTATAACTTTCAAAAATTTCTAAGTTATTTCCAAGAAATTATTGAAAACTTATTGAAAATGCAGAATTACCTGAAATTATTTGAAGATACTGAAAATTAATGAAAAATTATTGAAAATGCTCATTAATACTGAAAATGCACATTAATTGAAAATTCTAAAGGTTATTGTAAAAGTAAAAGAAAAATGACTGACAATTATTTATAATGTATCGATAACTACTGAAAATACTGAATATTATTGAAAATTACTGAATATACAAAAATTACTTAAAATAATTGAAAACAATCCTCAAAATGCTTTAGAATTTGACAATGAAAATTATTGAAAATAAATTGCAAATTATTGAATTTTTAAAGTGATTGCAAATTATTGAAAATAAAATGCTTTAATTTTTAAAGCAAAAATTATTGAAAATTGTAGGAAAGCAGCTAAAATTTATTGAAAATGCAGAATTTCTGAAAATTATTGTAAAATACTGAAAAGTAATGATAAAATACTGAAAATGGTTATTAGTTCTGAAAATGCACATTAATTGAAAATTCTAAACGTTATTGTAAAAGTATAGAAAAATTACTGACAATTATTTAAAATTTATTGGTAATTACTTAAATTACTGAAAATACTGAATATTATTGAAAATTTCTGAATATGAAAAAATTACTTAAAAATATTGATAAAAGTCCTGAAAATGCTTTAAAGTTCGAAAATGAAAACTAACTCTGAAAATAAATTGTAAATTATTGAAAAATACTGAAAATTCAAATATAAAATAAAATTGTTTTCTGTTGAAATTTATTTTCTAATGAAAAATTACTGAAAATTAATTCTGTAGCAATAACTGAGAATTAATTGAAAATTACAGAAAATTATTTAAAATTCTTGGAATTCAATTTTCTTTATTATTTTCATTAGTTATTTATTAATTTTAAAATTTGATGAACAAGAAGAAAAATATATTTTTTATGAAATTATTTTTCCACTTGACCCTTTTCCTTAAAATTATAGAAAAATAAATGAAAATTAAATTGCACTTTCTGAAATTTAATTTAAATTAGTTGAATAATTACTGATAAATTATTGAATTATTGTAGATTTTTTTTATAAAATTACTAAAAAAATACTCATTAAAGTTTTCCAATTCAAATATTTATTAAAAATTCAGTAGAGTCAAAACATTTTAATATTCTTAGATATTAGTTATTGATATATTTTCTAATGTCATTCATCAAGTATTAAATCTTGAGGCAGAATTTACAAATATAACAATTAAAAATTCTGAAAATGTAATAATATTTAAAAATTCTGAAATCACCAAAAAAATTATTGAAATTACTGATAATGCAAATAATATACTAAAAATAAAAAAATTACTGAAAATAATTGAAAATTTATTGAAAATGTGGAAGGGATCGAAAATGAACATCAAATTAGACATTGGATTTTCACGTGCATTGCACAGGTCACCACTATTATATATAAAAAGCAAGGTTGTCCACGTCACCATGCCTCTCCTTGCTCCAAACCCCCTACCTAATTTTCCTTTTTTTTGAATTTTTTATTTTTCTAATTCCATGTAATTATTGATTAATAAACCAATAAGGGAATAACATAGCTAAATTATCTATGACAACAAATAGATAAAGAAAGAGGGATTTGTTTTTCTAACGTCTAGCCAAGTAGCACCACTATCCCCCCACATTCTCTTAAATTATCTCTAATTCCTATTTATCTTCTAAGTCCTAAATTGTCTCTAATTTAGTAGAGAATTTCTCTCCTAAATTATATCTAATTCCTATTTATCCTCTCCTCCACTTTTTATCTATATCTATCCAAGGTTCAAAATTTTAATACATATCGGTCAATATGTATCGTACTGGCGGCTTCCCGATACGCCCCTCCAGGGGTGTTTCGGGATTTCGATTGGTTTAGGGGATGGACAGACCTTAAACTGGCCCCTTTGAATCGGATTTGAAAAAAAAAATAAAAAAAATATAAAAAAAACTATCAATACTGCCCGGTACACTAGAGACGTATCGATATTTTGAACCTTGTATCTTTCTAAAGAAAGTTTGAATTAAAAAAAATTAAATATTATAACAAAATTATATACTAACTTTAAAATATGAGTTATTTAAAAATAAAATTACCAAGTTTGATGTATTGACAAATTCCGTTATGTTTAGAAATTAATAGCATAAACAGGAAGATAAAAAGTTTTTATGGGATGGCATTGCCCCTGTATTAGAAAAGAATAGAAGTGAGAAAACTAATTGTCTTCCTTAAACTTGTTTCTCACTATGCAATATAATCAAATTTGAGGGAGCATTGTCTTTGCAAGCAAAAAAGTGAGAACAAGTTTGAAATTAACTTGTTATTGTGGCATGTCATTTCATAGCCTTCGTTCTTAAAATTGGTATCATAACGAAACATCATCGTTTGCAGGCCAACAAAAATAGACCAGCCCAACAAAATAAACCTACTCCATACCAGAGAATCATGGAATCTTCCTATCTATCTTTGTTTCCCTATTGATCAATCAAGGAAAACAAAGTATCTCATAGATCCATATTCTCTTCTCCCCTCTCTCTCATGTTTAAAAATAATAATAATAAAAGGAAGCATCTTGCAGATCTTATCTGGTTGTTTGATATTTAAAGTATCATGATATCCTCTTGATTCATCACTCAATCTAGTTTGGTCAAAGTAAAGATTTTATTGATTGGATCTGGAGCAAGAGTATGGTCGAAGTTTTACAATGTCATTTTACAACAGATTTTAAAATTAAATATAATGAATTTATGGATAAGGGTAGTTCACTCTGAAAAGGAAAAAGTTCTCTCCCGCTAATCCAATTCAACTTTATTTTCAAAACATCACTGAATTTGTTATTTGTTAAAACTAAGTTATTTATTTTGTAAAAATCCCTTAAAATATTTATTAGAATACAACAAATAATTATTCATATTATTAATAGTTTTATATTTTCATAAACTTCATCACAAAATTATGTACTAACAATATAAATTATAATTTTACAAAATATTCAAATGACAAAAAACATTAAAAATAAAATATTATTTAAATATTTCAATAACAAAATATTAAAAATAGCTAAGTAATTATATAATAAAATATTTAATATTGTGTAATAACTTTAAGATCAACAAAATTCAAATATCAAAAATTTTGAAATATGTTACATACTATTTAAATATTTAACATAACTAGATTTGAAATATTTAAAATAACGAAATTATGTAATAAATTTAAAAAGTTCTTAAAGTACAAAAATAATTATAACATAATATTCAAGATAATAATAATTTAATATTTTACAAAATGAATAATGAAATTATGTAATAATAGTATAAATTATAATTTTATGGATTACTAAAATCAATAAATAATTAATATTTTAAAATTTAAATGATATTATTATTTAAATAACTAAATAATTTTATAAATGACTAATTTCACTTATATCAATTAATAATTCTAGAAAATAACTTTCAAAAAATTTAATATTTATTAATAATAATTTTAAAGTCTGAATCTATATTTATTATATATATACTAAAATTAATATTTATTTTATTTTATTAACTATTTATTGTTTTTTGTGATAAATATATTTTCAATAATTATGGATAAATCTATTTTTGTTTTATTATTAAACAATAAATTTTCAATAATTATTGGAGGTTAAACTATTGTTATTTAACTTTTTAAATTTAATTTATTCTATTTATTGTTTTTTTGTTATAATTTATTGATTAATATTTATTAGAGATTATCAAATTTTTGCTATAAATTTTCAATTATTGTAGCTAAAATTAGGAGTATTCATGGATTGGTTCGGTTGTAGGTTGTTTGGCCAACCAAATCGACATGGTCAGGTTGGGGAGTTAGTCACCCAAAACTGACTAACCATTAGTGAAAACCGGCCAACTCGAGTTGTATCGGTTTGGGTTGATTTCCTGTTTGTTCAATCAATTCAACATATTTAATCTTAAAAAATTAAATTTAAAAATTAGGTTTAAATAAAAAAAGTTACAATGATATTTATGGAAATTTCCCACTTTCTCATATTAAAAAATTATATTTGAAATATAAAATATTAATATATCTATGGACAGGCCATTCGATTTTGGTCGGTTTATAAATGGCCTAAGAAAAAAATGGTCCAACCTGGTTAGGTTGAGAAATTGTTAAACAAAAATTGATCGAAAATACTAGAAAACCAAATTGGTCGGTTTCATTAGTTTGATAAACAACCCTAACTGAAATTAACTATTATTATTTTGTATTATAAATAAATTTTTAAAAATAATTATTAATTATTTAAAATATTAAAAATATAAAACAATTATATACTCTCGTGCATTTATATTATTTAACTTTCACCTAACAAATTCCATTCATCCCACAAGTCCCCATTAATTAATTATTTTAAAAATTATAAATATAAAATAATTATATATTTTTATTACATGACTTTCGCTTAACAAAATTCATGCATCGCGCAGATCCCCGCTAATTATAAAATATATAAAAGACAGGCCGACAATCAATTTGGGCCCAGTCTAAAACCCGGACCGGAATCATTACGCCGTTTTGTGAGTCGAGAGCGAAGCCGTGGCCACGGTTTTTTGTCCGTCCATGAGTGGATGTTGCTAAAGCCCAAGCTAAGCCTGAGGCGCTCTCTCTCTCTGACTCTCTCTCTCTCATGTTTTCCACAACAATGGCAAATTAGAACCCAAAATCCAAGTACAGAAATCAACTCATCGTTCCATGGCGGTCGTTGCTCTTCACGTCACTAGAGTTTCCCGCCATTTTCGTTTGTTGTCCCCGTTCACACCAATCTCGTCATCGGTTCTGAAGAGGCCCGGAGGCCCTGGACAATTATGTGTTCGAAGAAAATATCGCCGGAGTTGCAGTTTCTTCGGATGGTTTCCTACCCGGGAACTCACTATTGTCGCGTCGGGCTCTCGAGGTACTGCAAAGAAAGTTTAGCTCTCTATCCGTGTCTCTCCGTCATTTTATCGAGCATCCACTAGTTTAGTTGCGATGTCCCATAAATTGGATAATCAAGAAAATTGGAGACGTCAATGGTGAATTATGTAGCTAGGTTATTCATTTAAGTTATTTAAGAAGTCGAAAGTGTTGTTGTTAGTATCTAAGTGAAAGTCGAAAGTTAAGGTATTTGTTCATATGTCATTGCATTAGTTGATCTGAATTACTTTTCATATCCCTGAAAGTGTATCTTTTTTAAAGTTCTCTTTGTTTGAACTACTAACCTCTTCAGACTGCTTTTCTGCACGTAATTGTTTGCCTATAATACATATAGCTAGTTGGTTAGTTTACTTTACTCTGATTTGTTTTGTAATATGGAGATGATTGTTTTCTTGTTGTTCGGAAAACTGTATGAATGCCCTTGGTTACTTTCTAACTATGGATAAAATCTTGTTGAAATCCATTCACCTTTGGGGTTTATTGAAATTAAGCTTATTGTTGTGTTCTGCATCCATATTGTGATTTAAGTTTCTCAGTTGTGTTTTGCCTAGTTATGCATTTTGTTTTGCATCATAAGCTTTTCTTTAAATTCTTAAATAAATTAATAAAATATATTCAGGTGGTATATTTTAAAAGGGCATAGGGTGAAGTAGTGTGAATTAATTTGGAGGCTCATGATCGAACAATGAAATGGCCATTTGACAGAGTTTAATGGTGAAATGAGACTCATTTAACCAAGACCATATAGTTCGTATAGGCTTTGTCAAATTAAGTATTATAAAAGCAGTGCTTTATAGTCTTTGGAACAAATTTTTTCTTCATGACATGGATTTTTAAGAAATAAGTAATCTAGTATCTAGAGTATTGGATACCTCAGTTTGTCCAACACTATTGTTAAAACCATAAGAAAGGAAGTTGAAAAGAAAGTGAATGAAGCTAAATATAGGGCTTATGATGAGTTTTGCCATAATTTAGGCACTAAAGAGGGAGAAAAAGGAATGTATAAACTAGCAAAGCTGAGAGAAAGGAAAGATAGAGGTTTCAACCATGTTAGGTGCATTAAAGATGAAGACCAAAGAATCTTGGTAAAAGATGAAAAAATCAAACAAAGATGGAAAAACTATTTTGAAAAATTGTTAAATTAACAACAAGGAGAGGGTGCTAATAGAGGAAAAACTAGGAATACTAATAGAGTTATATGTACTAAAGTAAAAGAGGTAGTAAATAAGATGAAGAAAGGAAAGGCGTTAGGACCCAATGGGATTCCAATAGAAGTGTGGAAGTGTATGGGAGAGGTAGGTGTATTATTGGCTAACTAAGCTACTTAATAAGATACTAAAAGAAAAGAGGATGATCGATGATTGGAGAAATAGCAGTATGGTGCCTATATTTAAGAACATAGGTGATATATGAAGTTGTAATAACTATCGAGGGATTAAACTCATGAGCCACACCGTGATTTTTTTTTTTTTGATAATTAAGAAGAGAATAAATGAATAAGGATTATGACTTGAAACAAGTGTATCGGAGAAGCAATTTGGCTTTATGCTAGGGAGATCAACCATGGAAGATACATTGTTTTTGAGACAATTGATAGAAAAATTTAGAGAGAAGAAGAAATATCTCTATATTAGTGTTCATTGATCTAGAAAAGGCTTATGATAGAGTTCTTAAAGAGATAATATGGTGGGTCTTGGAAAAGAAAAGGGTTCAAAATAGGTATATAGACCTAATTAAGGATATGTATAAGGGGGCAACAACCAATGTTAGAATAGATGTGATTTAGACCAATAAAAAATAGTAAAAATATTTCTGATTATAGTAGAAGAGGAAGACAAGAAGAAGAAGACAAGAAGAAGAAGAAGGGAGAATGGACAAGAAGGGAGAAAGAAGGAGTTCGATAATCTCCTATTTCTCCACTCTAATCTTTTATTAATCTTACTAAGATTACATAAATTACAAGTTTTCCCTTAAGTGGGCGTCCACCTCATCATCATACTTAGAAAACATAAAAAAGAATTAAAGACCCATTAAGAACAAATAACAAGAATAAACTAATCAATAAGATAGAAATGGGCTAGGGCCCATTCGGCCCAGTCTCTCTACACTCCCCCTCAAGTTGAGCATAGATATCAATCATGCCCAACTTGCTTATATAGTGAACCAGCTTTCCTTTAAGAACACCTTTTGTTAAAACATCAGCCAACTGTTCTTAAGAAGCAACAAATGGCAGATAGACTTTTCTTGAAGCAACTCTTTCCCGTATAAAGTGCCTGTCAACTTCTATGTGCTTAGTTCTATCATGCTGAACAAGATTATGTGCAATGTTGATAATGGCTTGGTTGTCACAATATAACATCATTGGCTTCTCACAGTTTATACCCAATTCTTCTAAAAGTGATCTCAACCACAAAAGTTCTGAAACTCCATGTGCCATTGCCCTGTACTCTGCTTCAGCCGAGGATCTAGCCACTACAGATTGCTTCTTACTCTATGATACAATGTTCCCTGCCACCATAGCACAGTAACCTAAAGTGGACCTCCTATCATCAATACATCCAGCCTAGTCAGCATCAGTGTATGCTTCCAGCTTCATGTGTCCATGCTTAGCAAACAAGATACCTTTCCCTAGAGTCCCTTTTAGACCCTCATAGCAGTTGCTAAATGTGTATCTCTGGGAGAATGCATGAACTGACTAACTACACTAATTGCATAGGAAATATCTAGTCGAGTCTTGCAAAGATATAATAACTTTCCAACCAGTCTCTGGAACAATCCCCTATCAATCAACAGTTCACCATCAATAGCTGACAGCTTATGATTTAGGTCTACCGGACTGGAAGCTGGTCGAGCACCAAGTTTGCCAGTCTTTGCAAGAAGATCAAGAACATACTTACGCTGAGAAATGAAGATACCATCCTTAGACCTTGCAACTTCAATTCCCAAGAAATTTCTAAGTTCACCCAAGTCTTTAATCTCAAAGTCAGTGTTAAGAAATCTTTTGAGATGAGTAACTTCCTAAGTATCATTACCAGTAACCACAATATCATTAACATAGACAATTAGAAGGGTCACTAAAGAATCTCTCTTCTTAACAAACAGGGTATGATCAGACTGAGTCTATATGTACCCAAAAGTAACAAGGGCAGCCCGAAATCTATCAAACCAAGGTCTAAGAGATTGCTTAAGGCCATAAAGGGACTTCTTTAGTTTATAGACTTTCCCTTGCATCTCCTTTCCATACACCCCTAGAGGTAAAGGCATATAGACCTCTTCATGTAGGCTCCCATTCAAGAAAGCATTTTTAACATCGAATTGATGAAGCGGCCAATCAAAAGTAGCAACTAAAGATAGCAAAACTCGAATTGAAGTCATTTTGGTCATTGGGGCAAAAGTCTCCAAGTAATCAATACCATACATCTAAGTGTATCCTTTAGCAACCAAACGGGCCTTAAATCTTTCAATAGTACTATCTAAATGATACTTGATAGTGAATACCCACTTATAGTCAACCGGTTCCTTTCCCCCAGGCAAATCCACAATTTCCCAAGTATTGTTCTTATGCAAAGCATCTAATTCAATCATCATAGCATCCTTTCATTTTGGTTTGGATAAGGCTTCTGGGATAGATCTAGGAATCACATGTGTGGAAACAAAGACAACAAAGGAATAGTAGGAAGGGGAAAGAAGGCTATAGGACAGGTGCTTGGAAATGCAATGAGTTGTACATTTCCGTTTTCCTTTGCAAAGAGTAATAGGGAGATCAAGGTCAGGGAAGGTATCAGAAGTGGTAGAAGGGGGCTGACTTGTTACCTCAGTAGTGATGGGAGGAGCAAGAGGCTCATTTGAAGGTGTGGAAACAACTTGCACTTCCCTGAGTCTTTGTCTCTGGTACCACCTTTGAACAATAGGATGGGAAGAAAAAGCGGGAGGATGAGCAGGAGGAGGGGGAGCAGGAACATGAGAAGAAGACCCAATAGAAGACTCGATGAGAGGAGACTCAATAGAAGACTCAATGGGGATTGGAAGAGGGACAAATGGTGACATTGCAAACAACTCCTCTGAATGCTCCCCCCCTCAGGAGAAGTACCAAAGAAAGGAACAGACTCAACAAATGTGACATCTCTGGAAATAAAGCAAGTGCCACGAACCGGATCAAAACAACAATACCCCTTTTGTGTGGATTCATATTCCCAAGAAGGCACACTTGTGTGCTTTAGGCTCAAACTTATGTCTCTGATGATTGTGAACATGAACATAACAAGTGCACCCAAACACTCGGAGAGGAAGAGAGAAGAGATCCTCATTTGGAAATAGGAGGCTAATGCGGGTTTTAAAACTTAGAACTCGGGAAGGCATCAATCTTATCAAGTATGTAGCTGTAAGGACAACATCCCCCCAAAACTTAACAAGAACATGAGAAGCAAAAAGGAGGCTCCTCGCAACCTCAGCCACATGTTGGTTCTTTCTTTCCACCACTCCATTTTGTTGTGGAGTGTAGGAACAAGAGCTTTGATGAATAACTCCAAAGGTATCAAAGTAGGAGGAAAGGCTCTTCTCAAAATATTGCTTTGCATTATTAAATTGGAAGATTTTGATCCGAGTATTAAACTGGGTAAAAATAAGCTCATGAAATTTTTATACAATATTTAGCACTTCATCCTGGGATCTCATAAGGTAAATCCAGGTGTAATGAAATACTTGTAATCCCCCATAGCAGATAAATGATATGTCCCCCACACATCAGAGTGCACTATGGAAAGGAGAAGTTGATCTTTTATTGCTCATTGAAAAAGATTGTCTACAATGTTTTGCAAGTTCACATGACTCACAATGAAGACTCGATAGGGATATTCCCTTAAACATTTTTGGGAACAAATAACTCAAAGTTGAAAAAGACAAATGATCAAATTTCAAATGACATAACATGACTCTATCAACTGACTCTGATGAGATAAGACTCCAAAGCTACTCCACTAG